AAATTTACCCGACTCCACTCCGAAAACGTACTTTGCGGCGTTCAGCTTCAGCCCGTACTCCCTGAGGGTGGAGAAGGTATCTGCCAAATCTACCAGGTGGTCACAGCTTCATTTGCTCTTCACCAACATATCATCAATGTAGACCTCCATGGTGTTGCCGATCTGTTTTTTGAACATCCGATTCATCAGTCTTTGGTATGTTGCCTCGGCATTCTTCAGCCCAAACGGTATCACTTTGTAACAGTAAACTCCCCTTGGAGTGATAAACGCCGTCTTTTCTTGATTCGGGGGGTGGAGAGGGATTTGGTGATATCCTGCTCGGGCATCCAAGAAGTCCATGCGTTGATATCCGGCAGTGGCATTTACTAACTGGTCCACCTTTGGCAGGGGTAGTCGTCCTTGAGACATGCCTTATTTAGATCAGTGAAATCTACGCAGACGTGCTATTTTCTCCCCTTTTTCTTCGCGCGGACCGTGTTAGACAGTCATTCCGGGAACTGTACCTCCCGGATGACATTGGCCTCTAGGAGTTTATCGATCTCTTCGTTGACCACTCGGGCGTGGTGCGACGCCATGCGTCGTGGCTTCTGCTTTACTGGCTTGTGCGCGGGTCAACATGCAGCTTGTGGGTGATAATTTCGGGATCCATTCCCTTCATCTCCATTGCGTTCCAAGCGAACACGTTTGCATTTCCCCTCAAGAAGTCAATCATCTCCTCCTGTTCGGCTGTGGGCATCGCGGTTCCAACCAAGAAGTACCTTTCCTCTTCTCTCTCCACCAAGGGTACCTTTCGGAGGTCCTCCACCGACCGTTCCCATTGGGTCAATCCGGGGGTCATCCATTCCTGGACGCCCGGAATGTGATTTCTATTTTTCCAGGATCTCTTCCAGAGGGCGCTCCTTTTCTTGGGTGAAAACCTCCGCTCTTACAGCCGAGTAAAAACAATTCTTCGCAGACGCTTGATCCCCTCGGATCTCCATGATCTCTTCTAGCGTAGCAAATTTTAATTTTTGGTGATAAGTGGAGTGTACCGCTCCCAGGACATGCAACCATGCTCGTCCCATGATCACATTATAGGGAGAGTCCGTATCGATCACCATAAACTCCGTATTGATGGTGAAGGGATCCGTGACAACTGGCAATGTGATTTTGCCTATGGGCAAGGCGAATGAGTCGTTAAATCCGACGAGAGGCGTCCTGACCTTGGTAAGGTCCTTGAGGCCGAAACCCATCCGCTTTAAAGTATCTGAATACATCACTTCCGAGGAACTCCCGGAGTCCACCAACACCCTCTTGATGTCGAACTTGCCTATCTTCAGGGTTATTATCAGGGCGTCGTTATGGGGAGTCACCACGCCCGCCAAGTCCGCGTCAGAGAATGTGATGCCCGACTCGACAATCCTGGTCCTTTTGCTGGGCGGCCCCCCATCACTCTCGGCAATCTTTTTTGTAAATGCTACTCTCTTGAGATTGGACTCGAGTTTCTTGGACGTTGGGCGATCCAGTGGACATACATGGATCACGTCTATGACGTTGTCTAGCTCCCCGGCCGGGGTGAGGGCGTGTCTCTCTTCCAACTCAGGTTCTATGTATTCTTTTAAGTAACTGTCCCAGACCAACCTTTCCAAGAAAGACTTGTATACTCTGTAACTTTCGGTGCGATGGCCGAAATCCCGGTGATAGGAACACCTGACCTTTTGATCACGGGTGAAGGATCGCTCTGCATTCTGAGCGGCCACTTGAAGAATGACTCATGCTTGATCTTGTGGAGCAACTTGTAGATGAGTTCTTTAAACATAGTCTGAACACCTTTAAATGACCCCCTGGAGGGGGAGCAGCCCCTTTCAAGAAGTATCCTCCCGCTCCCTCTCTTTTCTCTTAGGTTGGAGGGTTCTGCCTTTGCTACTTCCCATTTCGTCCTCGATCCTAGAGTATTTGTTTATCCGGACCATCAACTCGCCCATATCCGAGGGAGTTTTTTTGGTCAGGGATCGGTACAGGTCCATGTCCCTTGCCGAGCCGAGCCTGAAAAACACCGCTGCCATGACTTTCGAGCAGCCCTCTACCTCATTAACCTTTTTCCAGTACTGGGTGGCGTACTGGAGAAGAGTCTCAAATTCCCTTCGTCTGAGCGTTAGTAATGATCCAACGTCTTTAGGCCGCTTACTCCCCATAATGAATCGGGCTAGGAACTGCCTCGTCAACTCTTTTCATGATCCAATGCTGTTGGGGGAAGAGCCTCGAACCACTTCATCGCGGAGTCCCCCAAGCTCATGGAATACACTCGGCAGAGGAACCGTTGGTCTGAATGATACAGGGACATCATTTGCTTGTATTACCTGAGGTGGGCTTTGGGATCGGACCGACCATCATAAGTTTTGAATCTCGGCACGACGAACTTTTTTGGAACCTCCATCTCTCCAATATCCCTAGTAAAGGGTGATTGTATGACCTCGTCTTCGACATTATCCTAGACAGCCTTACCCCTTTCTCCTGGATTCCAACCGAGCTCTGAGATCAATTTCCTCCCCAACGGGATGTCTTCTGAGGTCTCCGGGTTCATTAATGAGGTTCCCCCTTTCCGGGCGTCGCGTGGAAAGGGTTGAATCCTCCTCGGACTCGTCTCCCTTCCTCCGCCTTGACAGCCCTCGCCGGAGGTCGTCCAAGGCTAAAGGCCATGCCTTTTTGGAATAGTCGTCGAGGGGGTGCTCGTTGGCTCTTGGGCGTTTCGGGGCCTTGGAGCCTTCAGCTTTGTTATTTAAATGATTTCTCAGGTCCTCAGTTTCTGCTTCTCGGGCGGGTAGTCCACGAGAAGGGAACGAGTCCCTCGACCCTTCGCCGGAGACGGCGAATTCGTTGAGCCGGCTTAGGACGTTCACATTGTCTTTTTCCAACTGTCGTAATCGATCCCCAAATTTTTCTTCGATCACCTTCGCCAGTTGACAAGCCAAGGGGGCGGATTCTCCTAACCTGATGCCCATACTGGTTTGAGGGGTAAGCCCCCTTGACTGAATAGAGACATTTCTATTGTCATCAACGTGACCCTTCCCTCCATCATAACGAGGAGCTTACAAATCGAGACTTCTTTGCTGGGGACCTTTCCCCTTGTGTCGAGTATTCACCATGGTCACTGTCCTTTTTAGAGAAGAAACTAGGAAAACTAGTCGTTTCCCACAGACGGCGCCAGATTATGCGTGCAGGATCTTGCACAATATAAACACGAGAACAAATCTCTCCCGTGGTAAACTTGAGTCAGTCAATCGAATGGTCAACCTTGCTGCTTGGAACAGACTGTGAGGTCCGGTGGTGACCTGGAATGGTAATGGGTGACTTTTGTGGATCAACGGAGCGGTCCAATAAGGCTGAGGGAGGTTCGTGGAACAGAGAAAAATGAGTTAGGAGGGCGCCGGAGTATTTTCTGGCGTATCCCCTCCGACGATCAAGTCAGTTCTTTGAGAGAGAGGAAGGAGAAAACACTGTGTATTTCTTTGAGAAAAAGTTTTTTGTTGCATACCGTCTTGCCTTTTATGAGGAGTACTTATACCTCAAAAACTTATGATTGCTGTCAGTGTGATCAGTAGGTGATCATTAGATACGAGCAACGTGCGCACTGATTTCTATGAGGAATGTCTTCTCTCTTAACTGCTCAGGACCCCGAGCAACCAATGCTTCGTCATCGGCTTGCCGAATGTTTAATGAGCTTCTCTCGGCAAGGATGTAATAAATGCCCAGTCATAGAGACATTTATTACCTTTCACTTCCGAGCCTTCCTGCATTAAATGATGTCTCATCAAGGGAATGGTGCACTAAATACTTGCTTTCCCAAGTCGTGTGTCAGCAAAGGCATCTCGGTCTTTTTGTCTTTGATCTGACACAATATGCCACGCACCCATTCCTCATTGGTTGTGTTTTCTGCATTCTCGTGTCTTTTGACACCAATTGTGTAAGACGAGGTCATGATGACTAACTTAGCCTAGCCTAGGCTAGTGACATGTACATTAATAGTCTCTGCAGGAGCAGAAAACGCCAACCTGGACGGGTACATCTCGATACCGAAGGAGTGGTACATGTAAGAACCGATGTACCCCATATCCGACCGAGAGATACGTGTCGGTACGTAACGTACTGGGTGTCATTGATTTCTATGAACAGTACCTTGGGGGAAGAAGCACTTGTGAACCGACGAATACGTGTTGTGATCACAATAACAAGAATATACTGATGTCGAGGACATGTGTCTTCATCTTGAAGAATTTGAAAATGTCCCATCATTTACATATATGAGAGATATAAATGTCATTTGCTAGTTTAAACTTGTTAACCCACATATGAAACCCACTCCCAATAGATTTCATGAATCCCATGAACTTAAGTTTAATTTTCAGGCCTAATATGGGTTGGGTTTCAAACCCAGAACTAACTATGCATTTACCAAACATGGGGTTGTGGAGTTTTATTTCCCAACTATGTCCTCAAACTCCCCAAACCCACGTACCAAACAGGCCCCTAATTTATTAACCTTAATTTATTATAATTTTTGAATTAATTATAAAACCTATTAAATATTGGATAAAATTATATGCACAAAAAGTGTGTACCAAATCATCTACAGCCTTTAGATTAGTGATGAAACCCACTGATCTAAGATAGCAGATGATTTAATGCACAAATTTGGTGTGCATAGCATTTCTCTTAAACATTAGAACTTCGGTATTGATTTAATAGTTTTAGTAAAACCACATCATTAGATTAACAAATTAAATTATATGTTTATATTCAAATAGTATTATCCAAACCCAACTCGAAACACAAAAACTCCAACTCAAGCCCAACTTTCAATTCGAGTACTGTCTAAATTAATTTCTTAAAATTAATTTTATATTGTAAACATAATGCTTTTATTTCCATGATTTCAAATTATAACGAGGATTTGTCTATGATTCAAAGACCCGACCTTTAACACCCAACAACACAATGCCACTCAAATGCTTGTGTAAGCTAAAAAAATAGACAGATACACGTAACCCAACAGATGAAAATCAATGCCCAAATAAAATAAAAAGGGGATAAAGTTTCAATACAGAGAGGGTATGTGAAGGAAAAGAAATCTGCTTGTACAAGAAAACAAGCCACAGTTTATACCAGTGGGAAGGAGAGAACTATACATGAGACCAAAAAGAACAGTTTATAGCGCCGTCTCTCGTATTACTTTGGTGCGGTATTATATAACAAGTGCAGTTGAAGCTAGCGAGTCATGTGGACCATCAAGAAGAGATAAGCGATTGATCTCCTGCAGCTTCCCATCAGCTAAAAGGAAAATTCGTTCAGCCATCAGAATGGTTTCCAAACGGTGAGCAATGACTAGTACCTGCATATAAAAACATATGTATGATATATCAACCATGGGCCTTCCAAGAAGAATTGAAGAAATTAAATCCTTACAGTACGATTTTTCAATAGGCGCTGCAGAGCTTGTCTCACTAATAGCTCAGACCTGCTATCTAAAGCAGAAGTTGCTTCATCCAAAACCAAAATAGATGGATTTTGATATAGTGCCCTTGCAATAGCTAGTCTGAAATTGTAAATGAAAGCCAGGGTAAGTGTCATTAACACTATTGAAATTTGATTCTGCTACAAGTAGATACATTCATCGTATTGTTATCAAGGCAAGAGTCCACTAATTAACACAAACAAGAAGCGTGGAAATTCTTTCTATAGGTAGACCAGTTAACAAGTACAATAACTTTTTAGTCTTTAGAGTTAGATGTGACAGTGCACCTTTGCTTTTGGCCTCCACTTAAACTTGAGCCTCTAGGTCCAATATTGGTTTGATACTGTTCAGGAAGAGTTTCTATGAATGCATCTGCATTTGCAGTTAGTGCAGCAAGCTTAACCCTCTCTATGTCAATTCCAGTCATTAGATCCCTATACCCAATGTTCTGGGCCACTGTCCCTGAAAAAAGTGCCTAATAGAAATACAGAAGAAAACCATTCAAATTACTATAAAATAAGCAGTTCCACTTTAATACTTGATTTCAAAACAAGCCCATGAATTAAACCATTTAAGCAACCAGCAACCATAAGCAAATGAAAACATCAGAGGTTATAACTTGATGACAGCCATTTCTCGAAAAAGACGTATATGGAAAAAACACATTGACTGAAACATTTTTATTGACTCTCTTTCCGACAAACCCATAAACCAAAACCATCTTAAATGAACTCTGGAATGCAAGTCATGTTAAACATCTGCAAGCCTAAACCTTTGTCATTTTTTATAGTCAGCTGCTTTTGCACATACTGTAATTCAAATTATATACTTCACCACCAAGTTCCTGTATACAATGGTCCAAGCCATCCAAACTCTTTGCAGACCAATTTATCTTTATATTTCAGTTAAAGAAAATCTCTGGAGTGTGGAGTCACAAATTTTCATATTAGTGGGAATCACAACATGATCTTAATCCAGCTAAGGAAATACCTCAATAAATTCAATTGATTTTTTGTGTCTGATCATCTCAAATGGATTGAAAAACTGATCTCTTCAAAGTAGATTTATGAAGTGCAAGAAGAATGATATGAAAACATAAATTTGCAGCCTACATTGCTGGATAACTTACAAAGTTTAATATTAATATAGCCAATGAAGATTTTAACTTTTTTAAGCATGCATAACACATAGAAGTATAAGTATTCACAATCAAACATTCTAAAGCTTGGAACTAACTAGCAACATGTTCAAATAATTCACAGCTTCCAATTTCATATCTTACTAGAACCCATTTATATTAGAAACGAAAAGAAAGCAAAGAAAATATCAGGTAATTGCTGGTTACTCACTATATCCTGAGAAACCAGACCAACGTGTCTCCTTACACTTTCCAACCGTATACTTTGAATATTATGGCTATCAATCAGTATAGAACCTGCTAACATACAAAATATTTTTTTGCATAAAAATGACAATATGGCTGTAATGCCCAAAATCGAATGTCAAAAGATTTTCTAGGGACACTGACCAGAAAGAGGATCATATAGGCGAAGAAGCAGTTTTACAAGAGTTGTCTTTCCTTCTCCTGATGGCCCAACAAGAGCAACTGTCTCTCCAGCTTTGATATGAAGGTCCAATCCATTTAATACAAGTGCAAAACTGTCTCCATATTTAAATGAGACGTCACAAAATTTCACCTCTCCATTGATAGAATCAAAATCAACCGCATCTGGTTTCTCAGACACCTGTATAGAAGAGCCTAGTCTGTGAAAATCAAATCTTTCAGTACAAAAAATGGCAACTAAATTAATTATAGTGGTTACTTTACATAATAATGTCAAATAAGCAAACACAATGACAATAAACAAGCAAAATGACTTTGATATACTAGCAAATAACACCAGTCTCTCAATTATAATTTCCACATGGCAAGGAACGTCTGAAACGTTTCTGTTTCCATGGAAACAAAAAAAAATCATTGATTGAATATCAAAATTCCTATGTTTCGAGGTGTTTCGACCTATGTTTCAGAATGTTTTGGTTGTTTCGACCAATGTTTCAGAAACAAATTTTCAATTTTTTTCTTTGTTTCCATTTTGTTTCCAAAACGTTTCTACTTCCAAGTTCACTGAAACTATGCACCGAAATGCAAGTTTGATCCTTGCCACATGGGCATATTTTCTATTACATATGGCTAGAGAAATCTTGGGTAGAAGTGTAACTAAAAGACAAATATGCAAGAATGCCAATATATGTAAGACTGCCAACCAGGTAATTCTGCCCATCCATCATCATTCACAAAAAATTCAAGATTGCCAATATAACATACTTTCTCTTTAAAATGTAGTTTGGACATTGATTGATTCATTCGTGGGAAGTAAGATAACTAATGCAAAGTGCCAGAACTTATATAACTCACAGGGATTAAATAACTAATCGAGGTTTATCAAAACCAAGGATGTTTACCTGAGATTTGAACCTTGTTATTTCAAACAATCGCTCAATAGCTGGCTCTCCTTGCTTTAATTCATTGTAAGCTTTTCCGATACCCTGCATAATTCTTTAAATTCAGCCTAATAACTTATGAGAGCTCCTCAGAGGCTGGACTAAGAAGAACAAAAGGAAGCATATAACCAACAAAAAGAAAAAAGCAGTGGACAAATTATTTAGAGAAAACTAGATTCACAAGAACAGTACAATCATTTCCATGTTGTTTATGGAACAAATTGAATAGTATCGATAGAACTAATCATCCAAGTTCATGGGAAAAAAATGCTAAACAAGAGCATCCATCAAAAACCAGAAACCCAACAAATTACACTTTGGACTTTTGGCATGAGTCATATTTATTATATACAAAAGTGCCCCATTCCTGATGCATGGAAATAAAGATAATGCCAGAAATCTCAGATGAAGAGTCTTCCACCATACACAACATCATTGACATGTTTATAGTAAGGTGATTTAGGCATTTAACGTCTAAGGTATGTTACGTATATAATTCAAAAGCAACTCAGCGATAATTCCAGACACAAACACTCATATCTGCCAAAGGCAAAAATTACACAGTGAACTAATGTATAAAAAATGAAAATATTTTTGATAGCTTAACCCTGTTGTTTTGTGGCTTTTCCTTGTCCTTGGATGGCATCCAAATTTTGGGTTGGACTACTTGTCCACCTATGATTGGTTTTGTAACACTTTCTTTTTATTATTAATAAACATGTTTCTTATTGAAAAAAAACAAATATTTTTTGATAGTTAAAGTACCTGAATTGGCTCAATCAAGAGGACCAATGATGTCATGAAAGACACCGCACCAGAACAATCGAAAGAACCACTCGAGACTGCCAGCGAGCCAACACAAAATATGAGCAACACCCCAAAATATATTGTCTGTACTATCTGAGGAATTAACGCCTTCATTTTCTTTTTCTTCAAACATGCGGAGAAATCAGCACAAGCAAATGATCGAAACCTAGCACTCTCAGAGAGCTCTGCATTGTTTGCCTTCACAAAAAGAATTGATGGGAGGACCTACAAAATAACAATAACTATAAAACCAAAATGTATCAGCTCAGAGAATTAAAGAATCATACACAATAAAGTTCAGCATTACACAAGAAGGTTCAGCAAGGATGACAAATTTTATCCCCAAAAATATTTTAACCAAGGTTTTAGTGTCTGCTGACCAAGGATTTTGAGGGAATTCCTCTCTTATTTTGGCCAGGTGGAGAGCTTTATGTGACTTATAGTCAGGCTCATGTAGGTAAGACCTATTGTGTAATGTTTATTCTTGTGTTGGATGACTTGTCCACCCTTATTTCTTTCTTTATGTATTGTCTCTCTGTCTCCGTCTCTGTCTCTGTGTGTGTGTATGCTCACACTACTTGATTTTTATGTTTCATGTAGTATTCTATCTCCACCAAAAAGCATATATTTGCATAATATGCAACACTGCCAACTGTTCATTTTTTTGATAATGTAATAAAATCTACCTCATTCAGATAGGCCGAGAGAGTAGCAATGCTAACTTGTGCCTTCTTAGATATCTTACGAAGCTTTTCACCAAGAAATCCAAGGACAAGAACCATCGATGGGATCACCTTTAAGATTACCAGACAGATATGATACCTTAGAAAAACTACATTACTGATTAGCACCAAGCCAGACAAAAGGAAAAGACTAGTTACCACTTCCTCACCAAGGCAGAAATTAACGAAAGAAGAGGGCTAATGACCAGCATTTGAGTTGCCATTGCTGCTAACTGCAGAGTACTGGGTACAATAGACTGCCAAACAAAGAAATAAAATTGGGCTGGTGAGAATGGGCAGGAAGTGGAAGAAGAATCATATACACATTTCAGACACTATTTCAACAGAATGTACTTCAATGTAGAAAGTTACTATAATGATTAACCATGAAAAAAATCAGCTAAGCAAATCCAGTAGATACTTCAACCAGTAACCATACACCCATTCATTTGCGCATGATCCAGTCATCATTGTCTGCTACACCTCTCTTTCCAGTTCATTATCATAAGCTCATAACATTCCTACCACTTTTTTGAGTCTCTCCCACCAATGCCTATTACAAAATGCAGATCTAAATTGCTTGAAATCAATGACAATTTCCTCTTTTTTTTTTTTGCTTTTTATAGTTGTGTACATGTACTGGGGCCCTGAAGTTTTAGCAGTCAGTTGTGTATAAAAATAGGATAATGTAACAAATAAACAAAAATTTTTACTATATTTTTACTTTTTTATTTCATAGATGGTGTAATATAAAAAATTTAAATCCTCACTATATAATTGAGAATTTGAAAATATTTTAGGATGCAAAGTGTTATTCACGCTAAAAGAAATATAAAATAACAATTAATTAAAATAGTAACTTCGATTAAATGAAATAAAATAAAGAGAAAATCTTATAAACGTTCCATGAACTATGACCTTTGGTTCTAAGTTGCCTATTGAACTTTTAATTATCTTAATCTATCCCTTAAATTATATAATTTTGTTTCAGTCGACCCCTTCTATTAACATTAACAGATAATTGAGAAAGATTCTGTTAAGATTAAAGATTAATTAGTCTCATTTAACGGTTAATTGTTTCAGATGCTTAAGGTACAGTTCATACATAGCTCAGCACAGTGGATGGGGTTCATGGACACAATGAACTACTTAATTCCAATCATGTACACAAACCGTGGATGTAGAACCAGTGTCTTTGTGTCCACTAGACCAGCTCCTCACATCTAGATCCATGCAATATTTAAGATAAGGAATCAATAAAACACAACCGAACAACTTCTAAACTACTGCACCAGGCGAATTAACGCACCATCATTCCTCACTTCTGATTGGAATCCACATTAACCTCCAGCATTCTCTCAATCTTAAAACCATCTTTTTCACATCTGTCAGCTTCTTAGAACCAAAAGATTAGAATATACTGGTAATTCTACCCCAAGTAAAACGTAACAAATATGAACGGAAAAAAAACTCTTAGCTTTGTGAGCAGAGAGTAGACAGGATGCAACCAAAAAAAACAGGTGGTCCGAAGGCTACCCACAAAGCCTTGTGTGCGAACTTACCTGGTGCATGGCTCTTTGTGCAACACCTCGAATATGCACACCAAAACATATACACCACCACACACACACACACACACACACACACACAGAATCACTCACATTCAATAGAGAATTAACAGTATCGGCGACATCTGCAGCCTCGGCAGTAATCCTATAGGCAATATCGCCAGCTGAAACACCATTTCTACCCTCAAAAAACTCCAAATCCCTCTGCAAAACCCTCTCAAAAACATGAACCCTAATTTTGTACACAGAATTCAGCGACGCCTCCCATAGAAAAGCTTGTTGAAGGTAATTCGCGATCAACCGAACCAAAAGCAAAACCCCCAAAACCAAACCCTCCTCTCTAAGCCTCACTACCTCGACTGCACCCATCACCGCCGAGAATTTTCCCATTTTGGGGACAATTTTGGAGAGAGAGTACACCGAGATTGCGCTGCAAAGCCAGCCCTTGAGGATTGGTTGCCATTCGGATTGAATAAAGGGTCTAATCGAATCGAGAGAATTTTTTGGTTGAGAAAGCCGGTTGGAGAAAGCTTTGGAGGTGGTGGGTGTGGAGGAGTGGAGGGAATTGGAGGGTGGTTTTGGTTTTAGAGTGAGAATTGGAGGGTTGGTGATGAAATGGTTTGGTTTTGATTCGAGTTTGAGGTAGGAGAGAGGTGATGAACAGGGCAGTGTGAGTTGAAATAAAGCCATTTTTTTTTTTGGAGAGAAGAAGCTGAAGCTGAAGCTGAAGATATTTATACCTTTGCAGAGTTAGAATGATCTAGGTTTTGATCCTATGTGGTTTAACTTGTCTAAACCGATTAGTGGATGGGTAAGAAGGTAGCTACAATCGGGTGTTTTTTTTTTTTTTTTGGGGGGATTGAGAATAACGAGATTTTTTCGATCTGAAAATTATTAAACAACCACTATTCTCGATTAATTGTATTAGATTTTCAGCATTTGTTCATGAATCACATGAATCATTGTACATTGAAAAATAATGTTATTGTTAACCCTTATCAATAGATTGATGATAGTTATTTTCAGATTGAATTTGCAACGTTGTTTGTATGGTCATTTAGTAATTCATAATCATCATTCTTCTTAACATTATCTAATAAATCTTTCACACTTATGCACTCTCCATCACCCCCCCCCCCTCTTTCCCTTCTCTTTTTTCAATTTGAAAGCCTCATCACCACCACCACTAATCATATTCCGTCACAAATCTACAATCCCAATCCACTATTTGTCCCCATCCAGAACCCGATTAACCCCCCCCCCCCCCCAAAGGTGAGATTAGCTGATGTGGGGGGGAAATAATATGGTGAAAAATCATGTGCATTGCATAATTTGGTCACTAATTGCCAAGAATTGATGAGAGAAGAATCACCATACACATGGTGTTAACAAAACTTGAGACACAAATAGAATTAGGTGGTTGTTTTGATACTTCCACAAAAAAACATTAAATGGAAGTAACAATGCTAGTATAGAAATAACTGTTACCAACAAAACTGCAAAAAAAATAAAATAATTCAAATAAAAAATCTTCTGGGGTTGTCAACATCCAACTATATAAACACATCACTTCTCTTTTAGTTTCTTGGTTATGGCAAAGATTGCTCCACACACAGCCACAATGATTCCTGAAACAATGATGGTAGATTTGAGTGTTTGCAATGCATCCTTCTTTCCCATCTTTTTCTGTTTTTCTGCTGCTTCAGCTTTTTCCTGCAATACAAACCATTTTTAACATTATAATTAACTGAATTCTTATTCCGGGGTACCCAGAAATTGGAAAAACACATGCAAGGGCTTTTGCATCTACATGCATATTAGTGTAACTATAAGATTACTATAAGATTGTTTTATTGTGATTTGAATATTGCGTGTTTGAATTACGTAAACCGTATTTCTAGATGCTTATGCATGATAACATTGTGTATATTTCGTTATTCTCAAATCATGTAATAAAGAGAATCTCGTGCATTACACTGCGCTTTAGATAGTAATTGTTAGAAAAATGTGGTGCTCGTGCATGTTGTATTTAGGCTCAATAATGCACATTGAGCATAGCTCTTATAGAATTATGTGACGATTTGCAAATCTTGATTACGTTTTTTATTTTTTATTTCATGACATTTATGTAACGTTAATTTCATTCGTAGTGTGAATAATAGAGGCGTCGGACTTTGTAATGTGAAATAATTGATTTTTAGTCGGCATGATATTTATTGGACGAAAATGGTAGCCATCAAATAAATGAATAAATCCTTTCATAACCGTGCAAAAAAAAAAAAAATGTAGCACCAAGATGGAGCCTAGTGATGGCCTGGAAGAGACCCCAATCCCATCAATTTTTTGAAAATTTCACTGTTCAATTGCTACTAAAACGATAACTCTTCTCACTCTCGATGAAAATGATCCCATTCTGAATTTTGGAAATTCTTGTTCCATATCTACTCACACATTATCGTGTAATCAAAGTAGCTAAATGCGATTCACCAAAACAAAGATGTCAGCTAAGTCTCAAAAATTTACCTTAATCTCCAATGAGGTAGCCATTTCCGATGATACGGGATCAACCTCAAAATTTTTGTTCCAGTCATGATTCAACTCTCTGTCTGCATCGACAACGGGAAAAGTGTCCTCTGAGCTTGCCATTTTCTTCACTGGAAAACTTTTTGCATTCACATTAAAATTGCCTCCTTAGTTCCTTTGAATTTTTCATCTACTTTTGTGCCGGGGGGGGGGGGGGGGGGGAGTGAAAAAATAAGATATAAGAGGTTTTCATATAAGCAAAGAAAGAATACTTAACCAAACACATGTCAAGTGTTTCAACAATTTCCTATTCTTGCTTTCAACTGTCCGGGAAACCTGTTGTTTTGGGGGAGGGGGGGGGGGGGGGGGCACCTGTGGAAATGACCAGATTGCACTCAACAATCCCCTCCGCTTACCAAACCACGTAATATTATTTGGACTTAAAATATAAAATTCTAGAAATATTTAATGTATTCACATTTGACATTCCAGATTTACTAAGGAAATGCCACATGACAAAGGTTGAAGAAAGGCGGGAGAGGATTGATCACAATCACATTTGAAAGCAAGGAGGTAACTAACTGAGAATTATCAAAAGATAACAATTGATCAAAAGAAAATTGTAAAAGGTGTTTAATGAAGAAGATGGTACATATTCAAACCCCCAAAATACCCACGATCTAGACATCATTCCGAGTGTTTTTTGGGGTAGTTTAGGTGCAATTAATATTGTAATTACGTCTCTTGTAATCGAAGTTCTTTCGATTGATTAATAAAAGAATTCTCTTTTATTAGTTTTTTGTTTTAAATTTTGCCTTTGGACAGGAAAAATCTCTATCGTTTTCGTCCTACGAAATTTTGAAACAAAGCATTTAAACCCATTCCAAATAATTACTTGAAACTTGTCTATTAATTAGAACGTTTTGACAACAGATTTTGAAACATGTATACTTCAATTTCTTTGGTAATTTTAGTTCATTATTACATTCATAATATTTAAAAAATCCTCACTCTTCCCAAGAAAATATTCAATATAACCGTGATATCACGTCATTAATCCTCATTAATGTAGACTTTGTTTTTTTTTTTTTTATCCAATATGTAGACTTAGTGGATCCCATTATTTTAATAACTACCAATAACCATCATATCTAATGATTACCATGTTAAAATGGTGAAATTCACCATTTCTATTTGGTATTTTATTATCAGTCGGCGACACCATGTGTCAATGATGATATGATATTACCGTTACAACTATTTTTCTCTACATAGGAAAATAGAGGTTGCGATTTATTTCTACTCCACAATAAAACCATTGGACAATAGTAATGTATTACAATGTACTAAACTAATATTTTGTAGACCATAAGGTGATTGTGCTGACATTCAAAACCATAATCTAAACCCCACTTGTGCTAATCCTTACAAGTATTATTGAACTAAATGGCAAGTCCTATATATCTCTTATAGGTCTACCATCAGATTTTCAATAGAAACTATAACATACAAAAGAAGAACATGACATGTACGACCGAATGGGTAAGGGGTCAGTTAGTCCTCAAAGTTTTGGAGGTCAAGTAGTCAGGCAGGCAATATGGAATCGAGGGATATTAGAGTCCGTCGATGGTCTTACTCCCGTCTTATAACCCCATGAGAGTCGAGGATTGAGACTCGATAGCATGGATTGAAACTTGGTAGCGAAGATCAAGACTCGGTGGCGATATTCTGGTCCCTTGGTGGTCCTACGCTCGACATGAATCTCCTAACCCTCGTTGGTCACTGGGTCATGATATGACTAAACCTGTTTGAGAGAGTGCCAGCGACCATCCAATCGTCTAGGCCCCTCCAAGGTGTTACCAAGGTCACATTCTGGGATGGCTGCCACGGCTGGTTGCTCCTTTCCACCCACTTACCACAGAAGAAGAAAAAAACAAAAGAACAAGAGAACACCATGAAATGTGCATCCTACATAACACATGCCAAATATGAATGTCTGGCCATACGCTTTAGCATCACACATAAAAAAGAATGATGAAACAGAATTCATGGTTGACTAACAAAATTCATGCATCAACTTTTTCTACAATACAAACAAATTGAAACAATAATGAACTATTTGGCATCGAATCACTGTATCATCTTCAGTTACATCATCAACTATTGAGGAAACGATTTCTGGACATGAGAAATTGATGGATTCTCTTGGTTGGAAAAATTTGCAGAAACTTTGTTCCATGATCAGAGGTGAATACAAGCAAAATTTATGACATAGAGCTGACGATCATTAAGCTACAAGTCCTTATCGCAACCAATTTCACACCTAAGAAGAATGGGATCGAAAAAGTATGGGATCAAGCCTGTGCAATAAGATCAGGAAGGTGTCTAGAGTCAACCAATTTCATGCCTAAGAAGAAAGGGATCGAAAAAGTATGAGATCAAGCCTGTGCAATATGATCTTGCTTACTTCTGCATCCAAAATCATATTTTGCCAACTTGCAGAACTATGGAAGTGTGTCTTGAGACTGGGAAGCAATGCCAGAGGATGTTAAAGAGGCTAACTTAAGTTCATTCTTTGAAGATCTATAAATTCTCTAAAAACTAAAGGAAAAACAACCTGGGGTCATTGCTTCCATTATCTTTGTGCTCTTCTCTGCTTCTCGAATTTGTGAAGGTGTAACCTGTTTGCATAACAAAGAGAAAGAGAATCAATTGCACCTTTTCTATTTTTAGCATTTAATAATGCAACATTAACAACGGGATGCCTTTTGGACTTTAGCCACTGTCTCATCACCTATTTACTCTAGTAAGTAACCACAAACATGGTATCTAGTTTTGTAAGCAAATGCCCAAAACAGATCGAGACATAGGTTTAAAAAATAGGCAGAAGAGAAATCATAGGAAAAGTTAACCCAGATTTTCATACCTTCCCCATGCTAGGAATCGTTCCCCAATGACACGGGACATTGAACCCATCCGTGCAACTGTACGAGTTTGCGAAAGGAAGTCATTGAAGTCAAACTTTGCACTCATGATCTTCTTTTGCAATTCTTCAGCATCTTCTTGGCGCATCTACTCACGATTTATGTAAACGCCAGATTAAACTATGATCCTTTCAAGGAAAACGACATACAATTAGTTAACACTCACGATTTCTTGGGCCTTCTCCACAAATGATAGAACATCTCCCATCCCTAATATGCGTCCTGCCATACGATCTGGGTAGAAAGCTTCAAGGTCTTCCATGCGCTCCCCACGTCCGACAGGCTTGATGGGCTTGCCCATTGTTAGTCTCTTCATAATTTCTAAAAAAACTATAATAAAAGGGCAACAATGACCTTTTGTTTTCCTTAAATAATGGATCCACGAATGAAGAAGGACAACAATTTCATCAAAAAACATGTCAGTCTGCTAACTAACTCTTGAAGTTTTCAGCTAATTGAATATCAATAACAGCAGCTTCAAAATCACTGCACTTTGTTTAAAGGCTATGAGGTTTGTTCAAAGGTTACAAGCTCAACCACCCTTCTTAAGCTAGCACTTTGATGAAAAATCAAGTTATGGACTCACAAAGAAACGAGAACAAGATGATCTAAAACCAACGCTTCTGATTTTTGCCAGGTTTGGCATAAATCTCTGTGTGGCTATTTGTTAGAAAACTTTTAAGTATCAAGGCTTGGCTTTAAGAAGAAATCTGAAGGCCATTTCAGAAATATAATAGACATGTTAGTTCCCATCATAGAGACACAATAATCATAAATATATTTCTTTCAGGAGTTGAAATAAAACATCAGCAGTTTAAGGTAATACCAAGGCCAACCTCTTTAACACTCAAAGCTGCACCACCTCTAGAATCTCCATCAAGCTTTGTCAAAATGGCACCAGTGATTCCAATTTCAAGGTTAAATGTAGTGACAAGGGCTGCAAATTCATCAAAGATAACCACAAGAGGCGATACTATGGAATTTGCAATTGGCATTATCGCTTGAATAGTAACAAAACACAAAATCCTAGGAAGGTATGCAAATAAAAAAGAAGGAAACATTTGCTTAAGAGCAACTATTCTGTGCTTCTAAGGTACATTCTTAATCCCATTCTATCAGACCAGAAGAACAAGAAAGCAAGCAATTTATTTTTTACACTCACATGGACACAACCTCAACAAGAAGCCATTAGCCATTAGGGCAGCAATTCTTTATTGTGTTGGACAATGAAGAAAACAACAAGCTCAAAAACTAAGGTGTCATTTAGTAACTGACAGTTTTTGTTTTTTTGTTTTTTTTTTTTCATTTCTCATATTGCGGCCAAAAAAAAAAAAGCGTTTGGTGAATGTTTTGGTTTTTTTTTTTTCCCAGTTTCGTTTTGAAAACAAGGCAAAAATATGAAAACATCTAAAATAATGTTTTTGAAAACATCCAAAAAATAAAATACGGGCAGCTTCGCAATAGATTTAATGAGATCTGAACTTCGATCCTCCTTAGCAACAAAAAAGGGATTTTCTTGCCGAAGTATAAAAACACTCTTTAATTTTATTTTTTTTAGATCCTTTTCTCTCGTCTCTCTCTCTCTCCCATCTTTGTTTTTTTTTTTTTCTTGGGTATTGGGTGATGGGTTTTGGGGGTGGTGATGGGGTTGGGTGGTGGGTTTTGCAGGAGGTTGAGTGGTGAGTTTCGAGGCTGGTGGTGAGTTTCAGGGAGTTGGGGATGGGTTTCAAACGGTTTGGGGGGGGGGGGTATTTCGGGGGTGTTGGAGTTGGTTTTCAGTGCTTTGGGGGGGGGGGGGGGGTGGAGGGTGGTGGGGGTAAGTTTTCTGGGGTGGTGGGTGGTAGATTGCAGGGAGTTTGGGGGTAGGTTTTCGATGAGGCTGGGTGGTTGTTGGTGGCGTTGTGCGGTGAATTTTGAGTAAAATATCAAACATGTTTTTTTTTTTTTTTATAATTTTTTAAATATAAATAACTATCAAACTTGTTTTATATTTTTTAATTTTTATCATGAAAAAAAAAAATTAATTTTATTTTTTTTTTTTAAAAAAAAAAATATATAAATAAAAACATTATCAAACGCACGTTGAAAATGAGTGAGTTCATATAAACCGGGGGTAAAACTAAAAAGAACAGAATTAAGAATAAATATATTGGTGAAACAAAAAAGTAGAACCACGCTGGTTTGAACACGTTTGTAAAAGACATGTTACTGAAAGTAGACCAAATTAACTTTACATGAGATAGTACATAAGATATACTAGCTTACAAAAGAAATAACTGCTACACATCTTCTTGTTTTCGGTAGAAGTCAGATAAAGCACGACACACTTTTCTTCGTACATAAAAGAAAATTTTCATAAGATATCCTGATATTTTGTTTTATATTGTTTCGTACATTTGTTTTCTCTTTTGAGCATCTCCAATTACGCTCAATAAAATAATTACTCAAAATATATTTAAATATTATATTCACTATTTTAGTTATCTATTTTTTTCAAATTCACTCCAACCACGCTATCTATTTTAACTGATTACTTCAATTAAATTTAACTAACTTTCAATAATAAAATTTAAAAAAATAACAATTCAATTAGACATTGTATAAATTTAATCAATTATGGGCTACAAGAGTAAATATCATAAAATACTTGAGAGTTTTGCTGAATTTTTGAATTTTTTTTGGAGAATTTTACTAAATTTTTGAAGGTATTTTACTGAATTTTTGAGGGGATTTTCCTATATTTTTATCAACTCATCGTCTTCCACCGTTCTGATCAACAATACAAAAATCACCACAGATCCAAAAACCACATCACCAGAACCCACCATCACTGCTCCCCATCCCCCTAATCCATTGAGAACCAGAGGAGGGCCAGAAGAACACGCCACCAGAGCATGCCAACACCACTGGATTCCTCCACCGAATCACCACCGCCATTGAAGCCACTAGAGTACCACCACCAGTAAACCCATTCTCAACATAAACCCTAAAAGACAGCATCAAAACCTAATTGCGACATTCAAGGGCATTTTGTGATTTAAACGAAGTCAATAATTGCAAATTGACATAAATAAATCTATATGCTTTGGGGAAAAAAAGATCGAACCAGTGGAAGGAAGGAGGAAATGAAACTTTGAAACTTCAATACCTGATCTGCCTAGGATGAAGGAGAAAATGGAAGGAACCTATGCAGAAATGGAGAGAAGGCAGCAACTGGCGAGCTGGTAAACGCTCACCAGATCTGGCTAGCAAAAAAGCCCTCAGCTATTTGGCAAGCTGGATAGCTAGAGCATTGGAGCCTGGGATTTGGAATTTGCTCACTAAAATGGTGTAGAGGAAGCAATTAGCGAGAGCGTTGGAGATGCTCTTACAGCACTTACAATAAACATGAAGGAGTAAAACTATACAAATATGCAAGAAAGCTAAAGAATCAGGTGTGCTTGGTTCCGCGACACTGAACGAAAAGAGTGTGCCATGCTCAAGACATATTTTACATCTCATCTTAAAACAAATCAACTGTTCATGAACAAGAAACAAAGGGACAATTAATCTTGGCACTTCAATTTCATCATTCACTTCCATGAATAAGATGGGTCACCATTTTTTCTTCAGTTGGAGAGTTGTATATTGCTGTGCAGCCACAAGCCATGGACTTGGGGTACCAAAGCATTCATCTTGACAGCAGGAAAAACATTGCAGAAAAAAGTCTTGTACTGCTTAAAAATATATGCTCGGGAGTGGAGAATGAAAGTAGCTAAGTTCCAAAGTTGAACAAGTGCTGACATGATCCTTTTGAGTAAGATTACTCATTCTGTTATTCTTCATCTTGAAGTGAAAGAGAGATTAGCCTCTTGTTCGTCAACTGATTAAAGCTAAGTAAAAAAAAAAGTGCGTCAGAATTCAAATCTTGTGCCAGGTTACTTTGTTTATAAAGCCTACTAACATTATTGCATCACCTTCATTTAGCATCATAAAACATTCAACGCATAACATAAACTGAAAAGAAAGCTCTTTTTTGAAAAAATGTCTCGGGGAAGCAAATTCAGGTACCTGTTCACCCAAAATAACAAGCTGGTCAATTGCAGCCGGTCTGTACACATCTCCAGCAATCAGCATGCAATTCTTCCCCTGTGATGCAAGTCATATCACAACTTCATCACTATTACAAAGGCATAACTAACTGGCAGGCTAACTATCGCACACACATATGCAACTATTACAGAGGCATAACTAACTGACAGGCTGATGAACACACACGCACATACAACTCTGTGTGTGTGTGTGAGAGAGAGAAAGAGAGATACGAATATATGTACCTGTTTCTTCAGATACAAAGCTAACTTAGCACTAACAGTCGTCTTTCCAACACCTTGTAGACCAGCCAATAATATTACAGTAGGGCCAGATTTTGCAAAAACCAGTTCAGAATCCTCTCCTCCCATCAGTTTCACAAGTTCATTATGTACAATCTGCGTCAACCAGTAAACATGTAACCACAGCTCCAGCACCAAGAAAGATTCAATTCTGGCAATTGACACAACATTTACTAGCTTTGATTTATTAATTTAATTCAGTGTGATTTGAAGCATGTATTATGATGGTCACAAGAGGGGGAAAAAAAAGGCAGAGTGCCAACCACATGCTTAATAGGAAAAATTCCAATGGAATGCCATTCGCAGCAATATAGAAATGAAAGTAATAGACAATAAGTAAGAAAAAAAACATCGTTTGTGAGACTTTTTGATGTACATAAAGATCACAATGTCACCAAACCACTAGTTAAGGTCTAGAAAAGAGACTTTTCAAGTCCATACCTAGTCTCGGTGCCCCTAAAGTGGAAGAGTGAAGGTCAACATGTAGTGATATGTTAGACCTGCAAGATAAAAACATTGCAACCTGTATTATGTAGCAAGTTATCGAATATGCATACTTTAACCAATTGTTGATCTGGTCTCACTCCTTGAATTCAGCCAACACCAACAGCTGGGACAAACCTTCTCACAACAGGAAGGCTAACCTGTCAACAGAAAAGGTAATCATTATTTTGAGTGTTCCACAAGTAAATACAGTCCTACAACATAGAGTCACTTATATCTGCTTCTAAAAGAGCTCTCCTGATGTCTATCATAGGCTCCACAATATTCTCCTTGGTCAAGACCTCTGATGCATAATAAATTCACAGAAGAAAAACAACTATTCATCAAGAATGAGAATGAGAACCACTTTTGTAAAGACAAGATGACCCAGCTTTAAATCTGTCTTTACAATTTTAACATCACTGATCTCGATCCTACGATTCCTCAAATTTGAAACCATTGTATTATATGAGTGAGATACACAAACTTACCTTGTGCATATCAGCAATTTTTTTGTTACACAGGCAACTTGGAATTCTAATATTCTAGAATATTTAAAAATTTAGCAAATAACAGACAATGAACACCTGTAGTTTTTGCATCATGTTTTAAAAAACTATTACTAGTTATGAACACATCTTTAGCTCTTCATCTAATTGCCAAAGTATTAATTTCTTATAAGAGGAAACAACCTTTCAGTATGCGAGGTATGGTTGCATACATCTGCTCCTCTCCAGACCCCGAACTAGTATG